GCCAAGCCCAGGAGGTACTAGAAGAGGCCCCCACCCTTCCAGCTGCCTGCCCAAGGCTTAAGGGTAGGAAGTGGATGTAGGCAGTGCTTTGGGAGCTTTGTCCCAGTGTGCTAGTCCTGGTGTAGCCTCAGGCTTCTCCTCCCGCCCCCCAGTGTCCTGAAGGCCAATGCTGCAGCCTAGAGCCCAGAGGTATGGTGGCCCTCTCCTTGTGCCACCCTTTCTTTTCTTTATCATCCATGTAGTTTTCCTAGGACCTGTGTGCTGTGACCTGTAGGACAGCATGCCCACACCTCTCCCACAGGAGGCACTAGACTGTGCAGTTCTCAGTGGGATGATGGGCTCAGGGCCTGGCCGTTGTCAGAGTCCTGGGGCCTTGTGGCTGTGTATGCCACAGAGGCAGGTGTGGGTCCCGAAGGGGAGTCTGGTTTGGATGGGCTGAGGAGCTGAGGCACTCAGCAAGGCCCTGGAAGTGCTGGTGATGTGGAAAGGAGCCTCTGGCCAGTTTCCTCGCTGCCAGGCCCCTGGAGGGGACCCTGGCCAGGCCTCAGACTCCAGCCCTAAAATATGTGAAGAGAATGGGATTTTGCAATTGAACTAATTTTAAATCTAAGACAACACCTACTAGTGAAATAAAGTGGCATTTAATGCCCAACATGAAGCCTTAAGGCAGAGGTGGGGCTTTAAATTAAAACCAATTTATTTTTGTGGTATTGGGAACTGAACCCAGGGCCTTCACAGTGAGCTACACCACCAGCCATTTTTTTAATTTTTCATTTTGAGACAGGGTCTCCTGAAATTGCCCAGCCCCCTCAATATAAATAAATAAGTAAATAAATAAATAAATAAATGGCCCAGGCTGGGCTCAAACTTTCCATTGACTCAGTGCCCTGGGATTATAGGTGTGAGATAAGCCCAGTTTATTTTTTGGAGGTACCAGGGATCGAACTCATGACCTTGCGCTTGCCAGACAGGCACTTATGCCACTGAGCTATATCCCCAGCACACTAAGCCCAGTTTAAAATCAATTTTAAATAAGGAAACCAATTCTGTGGTTGTATTGGCCATGGTTAATGGGTTCAGTGGCCACATGCAGCTTGTGGTGTTGTCCTAGTCAGTCAGGTTCTAGAATATTCTGTCTTCCCAGACAGTGCTGCTCAGTTTGCAGTGAAGGAGGCACTGGGTGCTGCTGTAAGACAACAGCGAATGCAGAGGCTTAAGAGAGAGGCAAAACCTTTGTAAAAGATCAGAGATGATTTGGGAGACTGGTGATAGAGATGACAGCAGTGGTCAACAGCAAACCAGCTACAGTGACTAAGGATATGAGAGGCTCACTGCAATCCCAAGGTGGGCTTACAGGTGGAGCTGAAGGACACAGCACTCTCAGGGCAGAGGTGACTATGCAGTCATCTATGCATAGGTGACTATGCTGGCACCATGGAGAGGCAAAGGATAGGACCAGCAAGAGACACAGGGCTCTGGCCTCATCAGACATCTCCCCAGGACACTGTTTCAAAGCAGTGTCTTGTGGAAGAGAACTGTGTAGGTGATCATGAACTTAAATGAGATGTCTCTGGTTGCGGATACAGTCAGGAAACACAGGGAGGATAGTCACATCCCAGTAGAGCTAGTCAGGTTAGGTTATTCAAGGGACTTTAGAGAAACAAATGTGAACAGAGGCCTCAGAAAACAGAGAGAAGCAAGTGCTCTGAACATGCAAGAAAGGGACTCGATCCATTACATGAATAGATAATCCTACCTGAAGGAGTAACTGCCCACATATGGGTAAATGGGAATACAGGACTAAACCTGAGAGTTTCCAGCTGCCAGCAGTGGGGAAAGGAAGGCTACATCTGTTCAAGGCCTGAGAAGAGCCTGGAGTCAACTCCTGGGTCTTGGCAAAGGGATGCCTTGCACTGCAGTGGCCTTCACCTGTTAAAGATGAGAAGCTAGGACCTCACTAGACAGGGATGAAGATTGAGGGTGATGCTGGGGGAGGGAAGCATATGACAAGGGATAGTTTCACAGTGGGGCATCATGATTAGCAAGGCCAGTGATAGGCTGCTCAGCATTTGAAAGCTGGAATGAGTCCTGCAGGGAATAGGGGAGCCTCGTAATTGACAGAGTGGATGAACACAGGTTTCCCAAACCTTAGGGGATGTGTCTGTCCTTTGCAGATACCATAGATCAAGATCTGGATTCTAGGTTAGAAAACATGAAGATCTGAGAACACGGCCCAGCAAAGACTCTCTCAGGTTGCACAGAGATTTGAAAGTTCCCAGCAACGAAACATTCACTGGCAGAACACTATATGGGAGGCTATAATGAGGGGAGCAACCACAGACCAACCAATTTTGGATAGATAATAAGGAAGCTGGGCAGTTGTGAACATGAAATTTTAAAGGTAATTTACTTTTTGGCTGTGCTGAGGATCAAACTGAGGGCCTGTGCACACTAGGCAAGTACTTTACCACTGAGTTACAATTTTTTTTTTTGGTCTTTTGAGGCAGGGTCTGGCTATGTAGTTCAAGCTGGCCTTGAACTATGTAGCCCAGTCCCACTTTGAGCTTGTGGCTATCCTCCTGCCTCAGCCTCTTGAGTGCTGGAATTATAGGTGTGTGCCACCACACTTGGTGCATTAACTTTTAGGTAGCATAACAGGGTTGAACACTTACCTAACATGTTGGAGGCCCTGGATTAGATTCTCAGTTGTGGCAGGAGGTGGGGTTGGGAAGCCCCAGTGTAGCTTCTCTAGGAGTAATAAGCCCCAGATGGATAAGGTTATTTGATTACTTGGACGAAAATAAAATTGAACATCTAGGTATTCCTTATCATCAATATACTCAACTGCTAGGAAGAACTAACTTAGTCCAGGCAGCACAGGGAGATATATAAACTCGAGGTAAGAATACCACCACTCTGGGCCAGGGATATAGCTCAGCAGCACAGCACCTGCCTGGCAAGCAAAAGATCCTGAGTTTAATTCCTGCTACCAAAAAAAAAAAAAAAACTCTACTCTGGTGGTGCATGCCTGTAATCCTAGCACTTGGCAGGTGGGGGCAGCACGGCAAGTTTGTTATGCCTGCGCTACACAGCTACACAGCTACGCAGCTACACAGCTACACAGCAACACAGCAAATCTGAAGCCATTCTGAATTTGTTAGTCAGACCCCGTCTCCAAAACACAACCCCCAACCCAAACATCAGGACTCTGGCACCCTTCCAGCCCCACCCTAGGGCATGGAGTTGGGTGGGAAGTTCAGGCCAAAGCGAAGCCCGCTAGGAGAGGTAGAGAGCTGGATTCCAGTCACTCATGCCATGAACAGGAAGAAATGTGACCAGGGAGCTACAAGCTCCAACCACCCAGGCAGCCTCAGAGTTGGCCAATGAAGTGGACCAAATTCCCAGTCCTGGCAGTGGCCTGATTCACCCTGAACAAAAAGGAACGTGATTAGAAGGACGCAGTTTTTATAAAAGGAAAAGAGCAAAGCACTCACTGGCCCTGAGTTGCAGGTGACAGAAGCAGGCTTGTAGGGGCACTGCACAGGCTGCCAGCTAGCCACAGGGGTACCAATTTTAGAAGCGGTCCTAAGGATCTTACCCAAGGCAGCTGCCGGCTGAGGCAGGAAACCCTACTGCATACTAGAGTAGATCTCAGCTGCCTTGTGGGGACAGAGCTGGGAGTAGACTTCCATACTAGGGAATCTCTGCAGGGGAGACAAGAAGAGGCCTTGGGACCCACAGGCAAGTTTAAAAGACTAAAGAAACCAGCTGTGGAGTTTGGGTACATTAAAGACACAAAAGGCTAACCTAAGTCCTTCATTCCTTGAAGGAACACACAGCCAAAATATGCTCCTCTTGACAGATTAGTCAGAGGGCTAGGTCAGGAGTGCTTAAATTCATTACTTTTATCAGTGGAGCAGGCAGATTCTCTCTGGGCCCCCAATAGCTCAGCTGATCTCTTGCCCAGAAAACAGCCTCCCCCCACCCACAACCCGACAGGACTCCAGAGCCCTTAAGTACTCATAGCTGTTATTGGGCCTTTGATGGGATGTGGCTGTCTGGAGGCACGACAGCAGAACCTACCAGCTCAGTGGCCCTGGTTTCAGGAGTTGACATCTGTGCAGCAGAAAGCCAGGACCTAGCCAGTGTCTCCAGAAAACCAAGGGGGCGGGGGAGCTGTGACGCTGCTACCCACTGGGTGAACCCTTCAGGACAGGCCCTGTGTGGAGCTAGCTGAGAGGGCACACTCCTTGTTTAGCTGTGTGGCCCGGATGGGTCCCTTAATTTGTAAAATGAGCCCATTGTTCTGCTTGAGCGTGTAATTGTCATGCTAGTGGAGCGCCTCCGGCTACATCCTCGCCTCTAGCTCCACCCCACCCTCCCCCACCCAGGGAGGGCCTGGAACTGAAGTTTTTACAAGGCTCCCCTCTCGAGCTGCATTTTTAGGTCCTCCGGGAATGGCATGGACCCTGGCCTCAGGCTTAGCCAAAGGGCTCAGACCCCAAACTGGCCACCTACGGACAAGACCGGGACCTTCCGCAGGGCTGTGCTCTTGCTCCTCCTCTGTCCTGAGGACTTCAGAGTTCAGCTCTTCAGACTGCGTCCGGTGCAGCAGCTCAATTGGTCCACACTAAGGCCAGACTTAGGGACAGTCCCACTCAGAGTTCCTCTTCCTGGACAGGTAGAAGACAGGGGTCTTGTCTTTTTACTTTACTTTTTACCCTTCCTTCACTTTCTGGTCTTTCAGCCTTCTGGGATGGCAGTTTTGCTCACCACTGGCCGGTGCTGCCTGAACTCTTGGAGGACAGGGTTCTGCACGGCCTCAGGAACACTTGGAGGTCCTGGTCACCACCCCAGCACTCCGCAGGGTGTCAGCTGATACCTCAGGGGGACGCTGGAGCCCCTCCCTACGACTGGAAGCATTTTAACCTTGCCCTGACCTTTGAAGCCGCTACCGGTAGGAGGCCATTCCTGGCCCTGTACTCATTCACAGGGTTAAGTCGGAAAAACAACCTCTTTATTTAACATACCTAATATAGGGTGGGGGGCTGCAAAACGGGTCAAGGCAAACGAGGCGTGGCCCTGGTCAGGACAGCCAGCCACAGGCGGGGTCTCACTCGTGCAGGTCCCGCAGGACACCCCGTTCGGCGGCCGCACTGCCCAAGATGAATCCCACAGCCAGGGACACGGTCTGGTCGAAGGAGCCCCGTAGCTGCTCCACGTGCTGGTTCAGGGCCGTCAGCTGGTCACGCAGTGGGCCCAGGATCGCTACGATGTCACCGAGGTGTGTTAAGGTCTGAAGCAGCGCGGCATTCAGCGAAGGCGGCTGGGGCTGTGGGGGCGCGCGGCCGTCAGGGCGATAGGGCGGGGTGGCGGGGCGCTCTGGGGAAGGGTCGGGGTCCGGCGGGGGTGGGGATCCCGGGGCTTGGCCCGGGTCGGGGATGAAGGTGCGGAAGGCTGTCGGGGCGTGAGCCACTGGGGAGTCGGGGGCGCAACAAGGCTCTGCAGACTTCGGCGAGGACGGGCTGAACCTGAGCAGGCAGGTGGGGTCTGCGTCGGGGTCACGGGTGGCTGACTGCGGCGCGCCGCCTGCAGAGCAGAACGCACGATCAGTGGGGCTACCCGAGCGCCGCCCCCCACGCCACGCGGCCCCGGCTTTACTCCTCCCTACCTGGCTGCTCGAGGAAGCGAGCGGGCATTGCAGAGGCCCGGCGTCTGCCTCGCTGCGGGCGCCCGGGCCCGGGGGGCGGGCGGCGGCGGACGCGCCTCCGTCCGTGGTCGCCTAGAAGCCCCATGAGTTCACGGATCTGCGCGTCGAAGGGCCCGGACGGCTGTCCCTGCGCGTCGCGAAGCTTGTCCTTGAGGAATTTGTAGCGGCGGCGGCACTGCGCGGGCGTACGCCGCACCTCCTGGCGGGCCAGCGCGGCCGACACGCGGCGGTAGGTGGGCTGTGCCTGGCGGCGGTCTAGCAGCAGCGAGCGCCACACAGTGGGTTGCAGCAGCGTTCCCAGCAGGAGCTCCGTCTCCCGCGCGCTCCAGGGCGTGCGCTGCGCCGAGCCCGGGGACACGGGCGACCTGGGCGACTCGGGCCCCGCCAGCGCGCTCGGCGAAGCTGGACCCGCGAGCGGGCTCCCCGGGCCGTCTTCGGCCGGCCGAAGGTCGGCGTCGGGGCTCGTTGGCGATGGCAGCGCGGAGGGCGCGAGCGGAGGAGGCCGCCGGGGCCGGAGGAGCATCCCGGGGCGAGCCTAGGCACAAGGCTCCGGGTCAACGGCCGGACCGAAAAGGCTGGCGCCCTCGAGCCGCCCACACACGCTCTGAGGACCCTGCGCCGCCGCCGCGTCGGGGCCAGTTCTACGCGACCCTCCCACCCGCCGCCGCTTGGCCCCGCCCCGCCCCGCCCTCTCGGCCCTCGGAATTCAGCTTGGCCGGGCCTTGCCTCTTGGTTTTCTGTCCTTCCTTGGGGCGCCCGGGCTAGGGTCACACAGGGAGCAACCTGGAAAACAACAATGGTCCTACTTTCAAAAGCATTCAGTTGAGGTGCACTTCATTATAGTAACATGCGGAGGGCGCGTAGGGGTCACATAGTATTTACGCATGTGCCGTGCCCTTCGGTGACTACCCGTATGCAGCTGGGCGTGGTAGCGCACGCCTGTAACCCGGCGCTCGAGAAGCAGAGATAGGCGGAGCACAAGTTCAAGACCAGCCTGGGCTACACAAGCGAGTTCAGTGTCGGGCCTGAGAGCGCACGCGTGTAATCCCAGCACTCCGGAGGCAGAGGCAGGAGAATTGCTGCGAGTTCAAGGCCAGCTGGGCAACAAAGTGAACTCAAGGCCTGCCTGAACTACACAGCGAAACCATGTCCCCCTCCACAAAAAAAAGGGAGTTCAAGGCCAGCCCGAGCTACATACACAGTGGAGACCCTATTTTAAAGCAAACAAAAACAAATACAAGTGCGAAACAAAATTACCCGTGTGGATCAGGGGAACACCGCCAGCACTTCATAATGCTCAGCCTTCCTTCCTGTCTTTAGTGGACCACGCACAGTTTCATGTTGTTTATCGGTGAAAGCGGTGTGGTGGCTCTGCAGCCTTAACGCGGGGTTATGGGTTTTCGGCAAATGCACATGAGGTATAGCTATAGTAACCTACCATGGGTGGTCATCACAGTGGGGTGTAAGTACGAAGCTTAGACACTAGACCCGATAAGTTTCGTGGCCTGCTTTTGAATTTAGTGTTGTAATTCACACACACTCCAGAAACTTCTTTAATCGGACAAGTGTATATATACACCTAACATTATAGGTAACAAAATAGTGGGCATTTCCCCCTTGAGATCAGTTTAACATCATTTTTGTTCAGCATTGTTTTTTTGTTTTTTTTTTCCCAGTACCGGGAATCGAACTCACGACGTTGCGCTTGCCAGGCAGGCGCTGTGCCGCTGAGCTAAATCCTCAGCCCCTATTCAGCATTGTTGCATAAGATCTGTGCAGCCTTCTGAAAACAAGAGGATTATATACAGGGGGAGTACAAATTTTTCAAACTGTAAATGGCAAGTGGTGAAAAGATACTATCGTCTATCATTGGAGACATAGGCACACCCCCCTCAAGTGGCCCGCGTTTGGCACTCTGACACCACAAAGTGTTGGCCAGGATGTGGAGGGACAGGACCTTTTCTCAGTGGTTCAGGGAGCTGAAAAACCTCAACAGCCATTTTGGAGACAGTCTGGTCTGGTGGTTTCTTATAAAACTACAGTACCCTACAATCCATCAGTCCTGTGTCACTGTGTTTATTTACTCAACAGAGTTACAAATTTATGACCGCTGAAAACGTGTACACAGAGGTTTGTTTAAGCAGTTTTATTTGCAATTACCAAAACTTGGGGCAAAACCAACATGTCCTTCCAATAGGTGATGGGTGAACACTGGTGCATCCTGCTGTAGAACACCGCTTGGCCCTTGCTCCATGCAAAAACAGGAGATGTCCTAATTGTCTTTTTTTTTTTTTTTTTTTTGTCTTTTTGAGACAGGATCTCGCTATGCAGTTCAGGCTGGCCTTGAGCTCACTTTGTAGCCCAGGCTGGTCTCGAACTCCCAAGGATCCTCTTGTCTCAGCCTCCTGAGTCTGGGATTACAGGTGTGCGTCACCACACCCAGTGTCCTACTTGTCTTTTGGTAAATGAAACCATCCAGGCTGTGATGTTACATACCCCATGATGCCATTTATACGAGATTCTGAAAAAGGGAGGGGAGGAAGGATGGGCCACAAAAGGATAGCTGTACCAATGGAGCCATTGCAGTGGTTTTATTTATGTATTTATTTATTTATTTTTGTGGTACATAATGCAAATCAAACCCAGGGCCTCATGCATGCTGAGCGGGAGCTCTACCATTGGACTATATCCCTAAACCTTTTTCCTGTTTTATCAGACCCAGCATAGCCCACAGCTTTTGCCTGCAAGTGAGCATTTTGGGGAAGAGGTGGAGTGCACAAGCACTTCCTTGGAGACCTGCTTTGTGCACATACCAGCCCGCACCCCTGTGTGTTTCCAGTGAGAAGCCTGAACAGAATGGGTCAGGAGAGGTTGGAGAACCAGCCAAGTGAGGTGGGGAAGCTCAGTGTATCAATGAGAATCCTGTCTACAGCAAGGAGACATTTCCCTCGTGGTCAGTGGGCTACCCAGGAGAACTGTGCTTTTATAGACAGAAGACTATGTGTTAGAGGGGAGCTGACCACTCTACAGCCTATGACTGGCATTTTAGTAATCTTCAGACTCATGCTCACTCCAAGACAGTGTCTAAGGCCAGTGCCATTTTACTAGCTGGTGATTCTGTGATCAGGCCTGGACAAGGACCAAGGATTACTTGCCTGTGCCCCTTATGCTGGGGTAGTGTTTCTGGGGTAGAGCCTGCTGTTTTTTGAGGTCCTCAGGCCATGTGTAAGTGCCATGCGCTGGTACCTGGTGACACCTGAACTGGGCAGCTGCATCTGGTGGGGCTGCTCTGTCTGTGCAGCGCATGTGTGGCCAGCTTGAGTGTGCTTCCAGCATGGTGGCCTCAGTGTAGTGAAACCTTTGTACTGGCAGCTTCCTCGCATTGGGGTACACAGAGATAAGAACCTGCAGGGAGCAGGGCTAACTGGAGGCTCAGAGCACTGGGGCCTGTCATTTTGCCAAAAGCCAAGATTAGTAGACCTGTTGCAATTAAAGGAGACCCCCCTACCTGTGCACTGTCTGGTGTCTTTCTAAGGTCCCAGGATGGGGAGAGAGGACTGGGGTTTCTGTAATTTTAGCATAAGTGAGGACCCAAACTACTCACCCAGAGTGGCTACTGTCCAAGTGAATGTAACTTCAGTTTCATTTGCATAACTGCCAGGCAGATAGCTATATGGCTCGTTATGGAATTTGCTAAAGGCTTGTCAGGTGTTCCATAAAGAACATCCATAGTTTATGCCAATCCCTGGCCTTCAGCCCCTCTCTTTGTGGGGTCCACTGAACCAATTATGTCAAGATACCACCTTCCACAGACAGGAGTGCCCCCGCTTTGCCCTCCCTGCGGCAGGACAGAAACTGGTGGGTGAGCAAGAGACCAGCTCTGCCTTTCCCACGACTGCCAAGTGTGAATTGGTTGATGTGGATGGGTTCATAGCAGAACAAATTAGTCAGCGTGAGACTTGTTTGTGGAGATGTGCAGTCTTCACCAGAGAAGGTTATTTCCTGAAGCAGGAGGGTAAGTTTGCTTTTCACATGCCTGGGAGTTTGAGAGTCTTGTTTCTCCCGATGGGAGCTGAGTTAGAAATGAGTCTTCCAGACTTGGCCCCTGGTGCCCCTGGGGGTATGTGACAAGGATGTTTCTGTGACTGGTAGTTTGGGCTTCTGTTATGGGCTAGGCACTCTCCTGTCATGAGCGTTTCCAAGGCACCTGTAAAGCGGTCTTTACCTGGCCAGGAAGGCCACCTTCTCAGAGCAGGCATCCCATGAAATGCACCACACAGCAGTGGCTTGGTAGAAATGATTTTATTTAGAAATCTGTACCATGTGACATCAGGGTGCCATGCAAACAGTGCTGAAGCCAAAGCCTGGTCACTTTCCCATGAAAAGTTGTTGCCATTGAATGCTGATTGGTGCTGGATACCATCTGTGTGAGATACAAAATCTAGAAACATAAACGTTGATCAGCAGAACATCATCCTTATAGAAAAGCCTGAAAACAGTGAGTCACATGTGCATGGTGGGGACAGGTTCCTCTCATGCCCATGTAAGCAGGGCCTGGTGCCTCCAATGAGTACATGTGAGAAAACACATCTTGGCATTAAAAAGTCAACATTCTGTCACAAGTCACAGCCTTTCTAGAAATACCACTGGCTGGGTCACTAAGGAACCATTAATTCTAAAACATAGAACAACCTTGGGTCTGGTGGCAGGCAATGCCTGGAGTGCACCACGCATCTGAGAGGTCTGGTGCTAGTGTAGGGGTCTGACTGGCCAAGTCTCCCTGAAACACACACACTGTCTGTCCTACTCCCAGGCCCTTCCCACAGGCCCACTCACTGAGCCAATTTCAGTACAGGTGTTGGACACCATGAACTCAAGGAAGAGCGTGGTACAATTGAGGCAGCAAACTTCATGTTCTGGTCTGAAAAAGCGCTAATGGCGGTGCACAGCTGAGGGAACACAGTGGATGGGTGTGCGCATGCGTGGCTGCTGAATACAGGTGGGCAGCCCTGCATCCCCATAGGTCAAGTGGAGGGACACTCTTAGGGTCCATGGGTGGCATCCCTGCTCTTAAGTGTCTAGTGCCCTTTTCTGGGGAATAGAGCCTTTGCAGAGCTCCTGTATCACTGCCCCCTCCTAAGTTGGGGAGGGCACAGGAAGGAGCAGCTGCCACAGCAGTAAGCATAGCTGGGACTGAGGCTGCTTCCCTTAACTGGCTTGGCATCTGGGGGTGTGATATGGTAGAGGTCTCCTAGAGAGAGGACAGGATGGGTGGGAGTATGAACCCAGGAGGATCAGCTCTTTCAGAAGCTTTGGCCCCTACAGAAGATTCTAGAAACCTTGGGGCCCATGGGTTCAACACTGAGTTTTTGGTCCTTCTCTTTTAAGCAAACATGGAAACACTGCTTAGTCAAGCAGCTAAGTTTGGAATCAATCTGGAATCAGTCAAGGCGGAATTGGTGTTGGCTTTTTTTTTTTTTTTTAAGAGGTGTTCACAAAAGGATAGGATGAAAGTCACTCATCTAGGAGAGATAGGTACAAAAACATCTGGGGAAAGTTTACTTATTCTATTTTCTTCCTTTTTTTTTTTTTTTTTTTAGGAGAGATAGGTACAAAAACATCTGGGGAAAGTTTACTTATTCTATTTTCTTCCTTTTTTTTTTTTTTTTTTTCTTTTGAGACAAGGCCTCATTTATATAGTTCAAATTGTCCTTGAACTCACTATGTAGTCCAGGCCAGCTTTGAATGCACAGCAATTCTCCTGCCTCGGCCTCTGGAGTGCTGGGATTACAGACTTGTGCCACCATACTTGGCTACTTTCATTTTTAAATGTAATTTTAAAATTCTTGCAGAAACAAGATCACCAAACTCTTGTGCCCACCCTGCCCCATGTCCTGGGAAAGGCCAGTTCTGGGTGCTGGGTCTGTGTTGGAGCTGGCTTTGGCCTCCTCGTGGAGCGGCCATGCGTGAGTCCCTCTGAGTCTCCACCTCTTGACCTGGGGAGTAAGGGGTGGTGGAAACCTACATTCCTCAGGGCTCTGGGTGCGGAGCAGCCTCAAGCAGGTGGCCCTGAAGTGGCTCTTTGCTCCCCAGCTGCCTCCTGCAGGTCTGGTTCCCACTGGACTCCCACATTTAGTTGCATCCTTGGCTACTGGAATGTGGCCTTCATCCTCCGTAGTTTGTCCTGGATCTTCCGAGAATGCTTCTCACTTGGGATCTGGTGGAAGTTGGCCCTGTTGTCTGCCGCTAAGATGGAAATGTCGGCCCCACTGAAACGTGCGATCCTTTGCTTGAGGTGCCCCTGCAGCTTGAGGTCAGGGCTGAACGTATACGGGTTCTCCTGGAACGCATGGACCTGGCTTACCACCTTGGCTATGTTTCTTTTGTGGGATAAGAAAAGAAATGTTAGTTTATACAAATCACAGAAGCTGTGCTCTGTGGTCAGCAAATTCTAGTATATTCTTAGGAATTCTAGTATATTCTTTGGTCAAATCAAAACCCTTTTCTAAGTACAAAAAGCAAAGGGCAGTTTTTCTTGATTTGTTCTCAAGGCCAAGCTTCATGTTGTGCATGGGCCTGTCTACCCATCTGCCCACACTTCATACATGTTTACTGAAAACCTTTTGTGTCAGTTCTACCAGAGCTGAGAGTTCCAACGTGGATAAAACTCAGTGCTGGCTGTTGGTGGCTCTGAGTTTGAGAGGAAGCGTGGGACAGACAAGGAATTCTCTGTACGGCTTCTTTACCATCCCATGCCACAATGTAGCCCCCAGCATTTACAATCCAGGAAGTTCTAGGCATTGTGAACTAGGGCTCATTTCCCTGGAGAGCTGGTTGTACACTGTGGCCACATAACAATTAGGGTGAACCAGGAAAATCAAGGACTCAGAGCCCTTACTCTTGCTTGACCCTGCAGACAGGCTCTCCCTAAGTCTGGATATCCCCTATGTCCAGTATGAATGATGCCACTTTTGTTTATAAAGGACAGCCACACCCACATACATGTACACATGGAATTAAGAACAGATGTCAGATCTCTACCCATGTTCTTTTCAGAGGGCGACATTACCTCTCACTTTAATTTCCTTGTTGCTACATGGGTTTTTTTTTTCCTCTTTAAATAAGTAAATGTGCATTTCTGGTGCATACTCATTATTCTTTAATATTCTTTTTTAGGGGAGGGTACCAGGAATCGAACTCAGGACCTTGCACCTGCCAGGCAGGCGCTTGTGCTGCTGAGCTGTATCCCCGCCCAATTATTTTAAGTTGATGACTATCTAACAGGGAATGTTGCATAGAGAGTTTAAAACCCACAGCACGCTGGGTCCTGCAGGCCTTTGCCCTCCCAGTGAGGCTGAGGCTTGAGCAGGTTGCACTTGGATGCTGTGTGGGCAGCAGAGGGGCAAAAGGTTGGGAGGCAGGTAAAGGGGGCGAGGGGGATCAAGAAGGTGAGGTTGATCTGGGAGACCTGGAACATAACCTTGGACAGGACTGGGCCTCTGAGGAGATGCTGACCTGGCAAGGACCTCTGGAGACAGAAATGAGAGCCAGGCTTCTCTGAGGCCTGTGAGGTATGCAGGCTCATGGGGTTCACCATGGTGGGTTTTACAACCAGCCTCTGTCTGCTTTCCAAGCAGTGAGTGGTGGGATCCCAAGTGTGCCCAGCAGGTGAACAGAGGGACTCAAGAATGGGGAGAGGACTAACCATGGATCCTATGTGGATGGCTCTGGGAAGAGGAGCTCAAGAGCAGCAGAGAGAGCAGGAAAACCCAGGGCCCCGGGATAAGGGAAGAGGTCACACTCTGGGCAGCCTCAATATTGTGTATACCGATGTGTGGGGGTAAGGTGTGCCTGGATCCCAAACAGGGAGGTCACCAGCAACCGCAGCAGTGGGAGGTTGGGACAATGGGCACCAGAAGAAACTATGCTAAATTTTTGGAGGAGAGGCTAAAGCCCCTCTTGTAGAAGGGGTGCTGGAGCTCTGGGATAGGTGAGAGCTGAGCCAGGGATTCTGAAGAGCAGCAGGGACAGGAAAAGGCCTGTGCCTGAGCCTTCTGCATCCGTAGACTCTGGTCAAGCTGAGCCTCCCTTACCTGAGCTTGCTCCATCTGTGGGCTCCATTGGTCATGGTGAAGCCCCCAGTCTCTAGCTGCTGGATGTGCATGGCCAGGAGGCGGGCAGAAGGCAGAGTAGGCTGGGCCCTGAAGCGCCGTCCTTCCATCAGACACAGGCTGTCACTCTTCAGGAACACCTGGCCGCCCCAGGCAGGGCCATGGTCACGGAGAGACAGAAATGGTCAGCTCAAGATGCTCGGATTGATTGGCTTGACTGCCCAATTCCCATGGGTACCTGTACTCTGGGCACATGGGGCTGCACAGCTACCCAAACATCCAGTCCAAAATGAACCTGGGGTTCACCTAGATGGTGGGTTGAAAGCCTGGACATCATACGCTTGCCGGCACAAAACATGACACTGACAGAGAAACCTTTACACTTCATGCTGTTCAAGTAGCAAATTGCTCCCTTATTCTCTGCTGGGCCCCAGGAAAGAGCTAGTGATCTGGCCTTTCCAATCAAGGCTTATGCTGGGTATTGCAGGCCCCGTGTCTCTTGTGTGTGGGACTGGGGGTTTTTGAGTGATGGCCAGCCCCCCACCCCCATCCCACAGAAGGTGTGCCTTGGTTTGAGGCTGGGCTCAGGCACAGGCTGGGGTTGCTGGGCAGCATTTGCCACAGGCCAATGACAGCAGCAGCAAAGCTCCTGCTGCCTTACTATGGGAAATGCCTGATCACTTCAGCAGCATTTCCTTAGCTCCTGAGGTCACCTCTGTGCTAGCTTCCTGGTTATCCCTGGGCTGCAGACCTGGGTCCTGGCCTGTGGACATTTATACCCTGTGCTGGGAAGTCAGACCAGCCTGGTCACGTGGCCTGGAAGGTTGGCACCTTTGCCCAGGTGGCTGGGCTGTGCAATGTGTTTGGGGTTCTAAGATGCAGGTGCTGCTGTGTGAGCACTCTGAGCTGTGCACAGCAAGTCTTTCCAAAGTAGCTGTGCCATGTACTGGTACCTCCACAGCTTTGAGCTCCTCCATGACCTCTGCAATCTTCGCAGGCAGTATTCTCCAAGCCTGAAATGGAAGCACAGGTGAGACCCCTGCAGGCCCATGTGCTAAGCCTACACCCACAGCTCAAGGCGCCCAGTGAACGCACAGGGGACTGCCTCACGGCCAAGTGCTCCAATCCTCCCAGGATTTGCATGGCTGTCGCAAAGTTCCTCTGCTCATAGCAAGATTTTGCAATCAGCAGAAACTTAGAGAGCAAGTTCACCTGCAACTGAAATGAGAAAATGACAGGGTCAGTGTGTTTAAAGATAAACAAACGGCTCAGTGACGGCGCACTTGCCTGGGATGTGTGAGACCCTTGGTTTGATCTCCAGCACTGCTAAAACAAAAAGCAAAAGACAAAATATTTGAGAACCCATTGCCCCAATCTTCAAGGCACAGAATGATGCATCCACATAATTTCTGTGGAAAGGAGGCAGGTAGGTGGATGCAGGTCTCTAAGTGGTGGCCATGGGATGGACATTACCTGAAGCAGCAAAATCTACCACAGCAAACCTCCACAGGCCTCTAGCTGCACCAGGAGTGGGCCAAGTGGGAGGGCGCACTGCTTCTGGGCCAGGCAAAGATGCCCCTACCAGGGGAAGATGGAGCTACTGCATCTACAAGCAGAGGAAACAAAGGGACAGCTCTTTTCATCCACCTGCTGAGTCAACAGTGGGATGGGAGCCTGTATAGTTCAGTGCCTCAAAACCATGTGACTCCAATGATGCATTTGCCTGTTTGACCAGAATGCCCCATAGCAGCACATGAGATTCTTACTCCTTTCAGAAAAGTTCCTTGGGGCTACATTCATGGACCTGGGTCCTGTCTTGTGGGCACCTATAACCTGGAGGGTTGTGGAGAATTCAGCTGACCCCTAACTTCTGAGCTGCCTCGCCCTTGTCACCGTGCCCATCATCCTCCAGGTGGACTAGGACTGCGGGCTCCAGTGGATGCTTCCCCTGAGCTTGACCATGTCTGCTGTGGTCCTGTTGCAGTTGACCCAGAGGGCTCCTGGAGCGTAGGCATCTTGAGCCTCTTAAGGGATAGCTTATTTGCTCACAGTTTTTAAATTAACATCCCAAGTTTTCTTCATAGGCTTAAATAGATGGGAAAGAATAATTTCCAGCACTTTTCTCTTCCTTTTTCTCCCCACCTCTTTTGCATTACTGAGGACTGAACCCAGGACTTTTGCACTGAGCTACATCCCCAGCCATTTTCTTTTTCTTTCTTTTTTTTGTTTTGAAACAAAGTTTTGCTAAATTGCTCGGGCCAGACTTGAACTTGTGATCCTCCTGCCTTGGCCTCTCAGAGTGCTATCCAGCACTTTTCAGATAAATCTTTTCCACTTTTTTGTGTTCAAGTTTTAAAGTTTTAATTGTAAAAATGTACATAGTATAAAATTTACCCTCATAACTACTTTTTAGGAACAATCTTGTGGCATGAAACAGTCACACTGCTGTATGACAGGTCTCTGGATGGTTTAAATCTTGCAAAACTGAAGTTCTGTCCCATTAATCAGCAAACCCCCTTCCTCCTCTGACTGCATCCCCCAACCCTCATGTCCTTTCTCTTCCTGTGGGTCTATGTTAGACAGCTCATACAAATAGAATCATTCAGTATTTGTCTTTTTGTGCCTGGCCTGCTTCATTCACATTACAGTTTATGTCACATTACAGTTTAGGCCTTCTTTTTAAAGGCCAATTAATAAATAATATTTCCAGATATGTACAGACCATATTTTCTTTATCGAATCATTTGTCCATGGACATTGGGTTCTTGGCCAGGGTGCTCACCACTTCTAAATATTTTTAGTAAAATAAAAATCCTGTTTTGCTTCCAAACTCACCCCTATTCATATAAAATATCCCAAATTTCCCCCCGCTCTCCTTTTGATACTGGGGACTGAACTCAGGAGCTTTGTACTTTTTTGCTTTTAGAAAGGTCTCACTAAGTCATCAAGTTGCCCTGGTTGGGCTTGAACTTGTGGTCCTCCTGCTTCAGCCTCCAACAATGCTGGGATTACAGATGTCCACCACCATGCCCCACTAAAATTTTCTTTAAGATGAGAAATTTTTTTTTTTTGTCTTTTTGAGACAGGGTCTCACTATGCAGTTGATTGGCCTTGAACTCACTTATGTAGCCCAGGCTGGCCTTGAACTCACAATGATCCTCCTGCCTCAGACTGCCGAGTGCTAGGATTACCGCCACCATGCCTGGCAAGGTGAGAAACTTTAGACCCTTTCTTCTTGTCCTTGTCTTTGCACCTCACCTTCCAGAATGTCAGCTAAAAGGAGCAGACTGTTTTTCACTGAGAACTTTTGTTGATCCCACTGTGTTCTCTGGCCAAATTGTTTGTGTGTCTAAAATGTATTATTGTCATTGTTATTTTGCAGTGCTGCAGATTGAACCCAGGGCCTCATATATACTAGACAAGCACTCTACCACTGACCTATATCCTCAAGCGTCTTAAAAATTTTACTTTGTGAACAAGTCTCACTGAGGCAGTCCTCCTGCCTCAGCCTCCTGAATGACTGGGTTTACAGTATATACCAGCATGCCCAGCCCAAATTCTGTATTTATTTATTTATTTGTGGTATTGGGGTTTGAATCCAGGGCCTTTGCAATGAGCTACATTCACAGCACCTTTTTTAAATTTTGAGAAGGGTCTTACTAAGTTGCTAAATTGCTCAGGCTAGGCTTGACCTTGTGATCCTTCTCCCTCAGCTCCCATAGTGCTGGGATTATAGACATGCATCATCGTGCCCAGCTCCAAATTCTGTATTTCCACAATTCTGTAGGACCTAAGTTTACATGCATAAAACTCAGTCTTCTGGGTTGTTTTGATATCACAGTAAGTAAAATGGAAAACATCAGTGTATATTTTAGACTGTGACAAGCATATTGGTTAAGCAGTTGCAGTTTTATGTGTCTAGGGAGATTGTTTTGGTTTCCTGAGCTGTGGTGGGGTACAACCTAGGGGTGCTTGTCTCTTGGGCCCATGTTTGCTTTAAGGAAGCCACGGCCTTGCTGGCTGTAGGTGCCCGCTGTGTCCTGAAGTCACCATCCTCCCCGGCCTGGGGAAAGGGCTGCACTACACAGAAGGAGCCTTGTATCTGATCTTGCCCTCTCTCTGTCAGTGTGGCCATCTTACAGTGTGGAGTGAGGCCTGTTTGACCTCACTCCACAAAAGCCAAGCCATGTTGACCCTGGGCACAGAAACTGGAGGCCTTTGCAATAGCGTGCTCACTGCGTGAAGGTGAAGGCCCCCTGGACCTGGGCATTCTGTCCTGAGAAACGGTGGAGGGAGATGCTGGCCTGAGGCAGGTGACTACCCTCCTGGGATTCTATGACATGCTTGAGAACAGGTGTGCAGGTCAGGCTAAGAAGCCCACCAGTCTAGCTCAGGCCCATGGGACACAGGGCAGCCTGGAATTGGGCCTGTAGCAGCTAAAATTAGACCTTGGCCTTAGCTGGAATAAGCAGCCGAGCTGCATTGAGTGCACAAACTGGCTGAGGGTCCACAGTGTGGGATCTGATAGGAGGAACAGGGACCAGCAGGTGAAGCAGGCACATTTCTGCCTTAGAGATCAGGCGGTTGTGGCAAAGCTCAGCCCTGGGACAGGCTCAGGCAAAGATGTAATGGTGCCTTGGCAGTGGGGCAGATTTTGACTGAACTTCGTGTGAGGGTATGTTTGTGAGAGGGAGGCAGGGAGGGAGGAAGAGAGAGATGGATTCTGTGTGTACTAGAATGCATCTGTCTGTATGTGAGGGACTGTGTTTGTGTGGGACTCAGTCTGTTGAGGGAAAGTGTCCTAGGTACTATGTGTGTGAACGTGAAGGAGTGTGTGAGTACTGATGTGTTGTATCCCCACAGAAAGAGACACATGTCCCGTGTCTAAGTGCTCACAGCTTTGAAGCATCCCCAGTAGAGGAAGGAGACAGCATCAGGCTAGAGAAGAGACCTCTGTGCACTTGGGGGCAACACTGTTGTGGTATCCCTGCTCACCACAGTAATCACAGTGGCTCTGCCCTTCCCTTTTGGCCTTGGGTAAAGTGTGGCTCTGAGGGATATGCGGTGTGGATTCCCTGTACCTGGTGAAGGGATGGACTAACAGTCTCACAAGGCCCACCGCCTGGCCCTGAGGCATGTGGACCCTTCAACCCTCTCTGACGTTGGAGCCGTGGAGCCACCTACCTTGGAGGTATGGCTGGTCACTATTTCAGCAGCCACCCAGGTACTGACATCATCTGCATTTCTTAAAAGCTGTAACAGGTACTTGTCCTGGATGTAATTGGGCAGAAACAGGCTACAGGTTTTGGCAGACAGAGACTCAGAAGAGCTGGCTCTGGAAGAAAAATGAGGTGTGTTATCACCTGGGGATACGTAAAGGTGGCCCTAAGTCTGGGCCCAACCCAGACGTAGGGCTGTAGGGTTTCTGTGCAGAGTGGGATGGGGTCAGGACCTCTGCCCTCGGGGAGGGACCCAGACATTTCCCTTCAGCCAAAAGCATCCACAAGGCCCTCAGGGAAGCCTCCCAAGACCCTCCCACCAGCCCTCCAAACCAGCAACTCCCAGGCCACCTTGGGAGTAGACACTCACTTAGGAATGGCTGTGCTTTTGTCCATGACACCCAGGGCCCGTGAGTTTAGGAAGTGTACAGGGTGGCACTTTTGAAATAATTCCTGCCAGAGACATGGAAATAGACAGTCAGGCCACTGTCTCCAAGGACCTGGTGGCCACAGCAGTGTCTTAAGGAGGGCTGAGGTGTTCTGGGGACCATCTCGGTAATCACGTGGCTTGGCCAGCAGGGTTCCCTATGTACTTGATACCCCAGGGCTGGTAACACTGGCTAGGCCTGATGGCAGCAGCATTGCTTGGTGCTGCTGTCACCTGTCTTGTGACACAGGGACCCTGGACAGCAGGGACCAGGAGGAGGGCTGGGCAGGGCCCAGGCCAGCAGGAGAGGATGGCCCAGCTTCAGCAGAGGGATGCCCAGAGGGTCACCTGTATCCTGGGTAGCTGAAGGGAGGATCTTACTTGTCGGGAGCCCAGTCTGCCCCCACCTTGGGCCTCCTTAGTTTTTGCAGTAGCTCCCTGGGACTGGTGCATCTGGCAACCAGGCTTCTCTGGTGCTCCACTGACTCCCCCAGGAAGTGTCTATGAAGGTCCTGTGATGCTACTGTCCCTGAGCCTGGCCCATGAAACCTGCAGTTGGCCTAGATGGGGGTGTGGGGTCCTCTCTGCACTCCTGATGCCCAAAGCCTCCATGTACCTGCTGCAGCAGTGTCAGCTGAGTGAAGAGTTGGTGCGTGCTGTACTCAGTCAGGAAATAGGGCCCCTTCTCGCTGGCTTTGGCATAGGGGCCGTAGAAGTCCTCGAAGAAGCAGGGCTTGGGCAGGGCAGATGCGATAGTGTACTGGCGTTCCTTGTGGTGTGGCAGTGCCAGCCCATTGCCCCGGGGCAGCCTCCAGGGGAAGCTCTGCAGGCAAGCCAAGTCGCCCTCCAGGTCAGGGTGATGAGGTGAGGACTGGCTAAGTCCAGTCCAGGCCTCTTTAAGACTGGCTCAGCCAAAGGGCAAGTCCCTCCTATACGTGCTTGTTGGCACGAGGACGCGTGCCCTGGTCACTGTAGCATATCCCCCAAGGACACAACCTCTGAGGTTTGGGGCTGTCCCTATATGTTAGTGGAGAGGATATTCACTTCCCCATAGTGTATTCTTCTATCCAGGTTTCCCAACCGAGGGTCAGGGAGGTGAGTTCAGTGAGTTATAGTAGGACCCAGCTCACATGACTACCTGGGTGACCCCTCAGCTGTCCTCTTTCAGGTCAGGTGGGCCAGGAAGTGCCAGCCCAACAAGATCGGTACCTGGGACATGCATGGGGAGCATGTATATGCACAAGTGCATGTTTTCATGTGCATGCATGTCTATGCGGATCCATGCATATATGCCTGTGTATATGCGTAAGTGTGCATGTGCACAAACATGTATATGTGTGCATGTGCATGCCATGTCATCCAGAAGGGACTCAGGGAACTGCACCTGCCTATCCATGGAAGCCCTCCCTTGGGAAAAGCCCACACCTTTCGGGAGATACCATCTTCTGAAAACCTCTTGCAGAGGGCGTTGAAAGGTCTGGTGTCCTCCTCAGCCTCCTTAGGGTCCTCCAGGTCTGTGCCCCTAGGGGTGCCATCAGCCCGCCGGTCAGTGCCCACCTCCAGGAGGCCCAGCAGATGCTCAGCAGAGCCATCCAGGGGCAGAATCTAGGCAGAAGCAGAGTGGTCACTGTCTCCTCTAAACGAGGGCGATGCCTGTCTCTGCAGGTACCTGGAATGCTAGACAGGTTGGTCTGGGCTGCAGTCACCTTGGAAGAGATGAAATCCTCAAGGCGCTCCAGCAGCCCTGCATTCCTTGTGAAGTCCACAGCGTAGCAGTCTTCCACCCAGGCCTGCAGGACGCAAAGGCTCCGCCTGTAGATCTTTGTGAAGGTCGAGGTGGGGTCCTGGTGGGCCCTGGAAGCAGAAAGGACGCCTCAGCCTGGGGCCATCCAGCTTGTACATGTGTGGGGTGAGGGATGCATGGGGAAGTCTGGGACTGATGATAAGCCAGGTGGCCAGAGCTCCCTAATGACACCCACTCCTCCCTCCAACCCCTACCCAGCAGCCCTGGGATGCTCTGGCCAGCTGGGACCTCCTGGGTTCTTTTCCTTTTGCATTCACCTCGGCTGTGTCATCCTTATCCTGGCCCTCTCCAGTAAGGTTGTACGTATGCCCTCCTCGTTAGGGTCACCTGGGACCACTTCATCCTTTGCAGGGGCTAAACAAGGTGCCATGGAAACCCACCCAACCTGAGTTAGGATCCCCACATGGGTGGTACCTGGACAGAGTGCTGCTAATACGGTCTAGGAGGAAGTGCAGGAAGTCGTGCGGTGTGCAGAAGTAGCGGAAGGTGTACAGGAACTGCTGGACGTAGCCCTCGAGGAAGGCGTCACTGGGGGGACATTGGCAAGACTTTGGGCCTTGGACCAGCCTCCTGCCCACCTGCCCTGGACTCACCTGTGCCACAGTGAGTGGGGAGCAACCTGGGGTGAGTGTGAGTGTGGGTGTGTGGAGTGTTGTGTGTGCATGTATGTGTGTGTTCTATGTGAGTACATGGATGCCCTTTGTTGGGAGAGACATGAGCAAGAGAGCCCTGGGAAAGTAAAAGGGAAGTACTGATTACATGTGAAAGTTGAGCGACTGGCGTAGAAGGGCCCTTCCTAACACACACAGTGAGCGCTCTTGTGGCATATTTGTGCATCATTAGAACTGTGGTGCCAGCCGTTGGCATTGGACTCTGCATTTTGTAGAGGGCCAGCTACAATTCACACACACACACCAACCCATGCAGTGTGTCTACCACTCACATCACATACATTCTCATTCTCCACATATGTATGATCCCACGCACACGTGTACCACACATGCATAACCACCCATTACATATGTCACACTACACTATACCCCCACATGCCCCATACTCATCACACATGTACACCACATACATTGTATACACCATATATACGCACATTCCCCATAATCATATACATTATACCACACAATACCCCAACATACTACACACGTACACCAGATTACACAATACCACATAGTACCCCCACCACACATCACACAAATGCACATCACACAAATACGCCCAACATGCCCTGCACACCATACACGCATACCACAAACATCATGTACAGTACCCATGTGCATGCCCCCATAATCATATACATTATACCATGTGATACCCCAATATACCACACAGATAAACATGCATACCAGACTACACAATATCACATAATAGCTCCCCAACATAAGACACATAGACACATCATATACATTATGCATACCACATCACACAGTATCCCTACTACACACATATATACACATGTAGCCATTACATATGCACACACCATACACATTGCACATTGTTCACTGAACCTGTACACATACAATCTCACATGCACATGTCTCCTGTGATAGCCCAGAGATCCCACGATGGACAAGGCAGCACCATCTTGCAGGTGAGGAAACTGTGACCCTAGTCTGAGGGTCAGCCTGGAGTCCCTGGAGCCAGGGGGCTCCAGCATGGCCAGATGCAGCCCACCTTAGGGTATGGGATTGATGGGGAGGAGGCAGCAGCCTTAGGAGACCTGAGCCTTTGCAGAGGGGATCTTGTTCCCTGGTGGTCCTCCCTGAGCCCTGCTGACATCTGGTGATCAGATCCAGGGTCACCACATCCTGTACATTAAATGGTACTCCAGGGCTCCACAATGGTGTAAAGATTGGGAGAGGCCTCCACCACTGACTTGGAAAGGCAAAGGTGGGCTCTCTGGTCAGACCATAGGTGAAATGAGGTGCTGCAGGGCAGAGGGGCTAGAAGGTCGAAGGGTGCTAGGTGGGATGAGGGAGGGAGGTCCAAGATCCCAGCCCTGGGAGTAACCTTTTGACCCTGGGCAATGGTAAGGGGATTTTAGGGTTTTTCTCTGCTATACAGCAAGAAGGCACACTAACATTTATCACTAGGAATACTGGACACACCAAGAGTGTTCATACCACACAGCTGGAGGCCACAGAAATACTCCCAGTGAGTAGATTAAGCCCAAGTACTGGATAGCTAATTATGGGGGGTTCTGATTTAGTGAGTGGAATGGAACCTAGGCCATGCCTCTGAGACTCCTGAGGGTGTCTGCATTGGAAGCCCATGGGCATATTCTGCAGGCCGTTCCCCAGCTCTCCCACAGTGCCTGCTAGCACACCCTGAGACGTAGCACCCGGCCTGTGGCTGAGGCCACCGTGGCAAGCAGATCAGTCATGGAGCAGGTGACAGCTAACATAAAGAAACTTCAAACTCTGATTAAGCATCTTTCTAGGAGGGGCCGGTGATATAGCTCAGTGGCATAAGTGCCTGCCTGGCAAGCGCAAGGTCCTGAATTCGATTTCCGGTATCAAAAAAAAAAACAAAAACAAAACTTTCTAAATCAAAAGGCAGTACAGCCCATCCTAAATGGGGGCTTTTTTCCTTTGTTCTGAATAAGCTTTTCTCCCTTTTGCTCTCAAAATCTTGTGGCCCATAGGTTACAGGGTCCTGCCCAGCCTCCTGGACACACCTGGAATAGAGGTAGGCCATGAGCCCCAGTGGTGTGCCGGCCTGTAGGACGCGAGCCTTCTTCTGTCGGCCCCCGCACGGGTGCTTGTTGACATTGTAGAAGATGAGGGAGGAGGACTCATCCAGGGGACTGAAGTCTAGTGTGTCACAGGAGGCTGCCGCGATGTTCACGATCACTGGCAGGGCGCAGGGCTCTAGGCCCCAACGTTCCGCGTACATGACCTGGGAGGACAGGCAGGTCATGGCCACTGGCCAGTGTGTGTGGGATGAGTGCTTGGTCACCCAGACCTTAACCCTGAGGAGGCAGGGCTTGTGCAGTTTGTTCCACACATGGGGTCAGACCAAATGTGGGTGGATGCACAGCATACACAGCGTTGATGGTAGGGATCCCATCTCAGTGTTACTTGCCTGCAGGTACTTCTTGACCAAGCTGAGGAACTGCACTTTGGACTTCATCTCCTCCAGCTGCCCTCTCAGCTTGGACAACATGGTCTTCACCTCAGAGCCTGTGGGCAGAGCACAGTTGGCACAAGGTGACTCCCCTGAGCCCATGCAGAGGCCTTACCTGTGGAGAGCATCCACGCAGAGTTACCTTTGTTGCGCTTTTCCTTCTGTAAAAGTTTCTGGTAGAACTTCAGGGTCTTCCGGTAGTTTCTTTTCTCTATCATGAGCTGCTGCTCCAGCTCCTAAGAAGAAGGACAGCAGGTGCGATCAGAGCAGTCATGGCCTCAGGCACAACTTGGAGGGTCCACAAAAGGTTGTAATTGCCCTAAAGAGAATCCAGATACAACCTTTCCCTTCAAGAAAAGACAGACACAGCCTCTGTGACTACACCCAGGAGGCTGTGGGCCAGCTAAAGATAGGAAGTGAGCTGGGAGGGCTGTGCAAGTAGCCCTGGGGGCCTCTGGGAACTGCATCTGGGATTCCAGGGAGTCTTTCACTAAACTGTTTCCACAGGAAGAGGATGGGGTGAGGCCCACAGTGAGGAGCTGGGCAGGGGGCAGAGGATGAGCACAGGCACATGCCTGGCTAGTGACCACTCGGGTTCCTAAGTAAATTACTTCCTATGGTGAAGGTCCAGGTAGAGTTGTGGCCCTGAGCAAGGTTAACCTAATAGCCAGCTACGGCCAGTGCCCCTTGGTGATGGCAGCAGCTCAAGACCAGATGCTGCTTGCCCTAATCCCATGGTCCTGCAGTTAACTGGGCAAATTGGTCAGCAGAAGGAAAAACAGGCAATATTTTTGTTTACATATTTGGATACCTTCTATCTGGCAGTTTGGTGGCTGTCTTCTACCACACACTGTGTTGGCAGTGATGGTAGAAGGCAGCCAGCCCCATGATGGTTTGTGTTGTAGGTACTGGGCAGCTGCAGAGGTGTCCAAGGTAGAATGCAGTCTCCCTGTGAAGTCGGGTCCTCCAAGACCCTGGATACTGTGCCAGCTCAGCTGTGGTACACCTGGCGGCATGGTGCTTCTCCACAGAAATAAATTGGAGAAAACCAACCTTTTCTTTTCTTTTTTCTTTTCTTTTCTCTCTCTTTTCTTTCCCTCTTTCCTCCCTTCCTTCCTCCCACCCTTGCTGCACCCCCTCCCTTTCTTTCTTTTTTTCTTTTTTTTTCTTCTCAGTTTTTGTACTGAGAATTGAATCCAGGGCCTTTGTACTGAGCTACATCTCCAGACCTTTAAAAAAATTTTGGGGGGGGGGCACTGGGGATTTAGCTCAGCGGCACAGCTCCTGCCTGGCAAGCACGAGTTTGTGAGCTTGATTCCTGGTACCAGAAACTCCCCCACCCCCCCAAAAAAAAATTTTTTTTTTTTGAGACAAGATCTCACAAGTCAGTAAGTTGCCCAGGTTGGCTTCAAATTTACGATTCTCCTCCTTCAGCTTCCTAGAGTGCTAGGATTATGGGTAGGAAAACTGACTTTCCACGTCATGCTTAGCTTCAAAGCAGGCTCCTACTAGACAGCCAGCCTGAGTCAGTTCCTCCTCATGAGGATCGTAGTAGTCAATTCCTGGGCTAACCTGCGAGCTGCCTGCCTAGCGCCTATGCCTCTCACATGGAATCACTGGCCATACAAGGGTTTGTAGATCATTAAAATGAGGTAAAGAAAAATGTCAATTCCTCAGTCACATGAGCCACCACTCAAGTGACTGCAGCTGCACAAATTCTGTCTTTGAGAAACACCCCCAGTTGACCACAAAAGTTGAGATGGAACTGTGTTCCGTCTGCTGGTTGGAGTGAGGCCTGCAGGTCTCCACAGCCATCCGTGCATGCTTCTCTGCAACCCTGCTTCTAAGGGGAGTAGTAGTGGCCACATCCCCCATGGCTGCACCATAGGGCTCTCATTCTGCTCCAGAGGTCATCTTGTACCAAGCTCCTTCCAAGCCATCACCCTTTGTCTTCGGAGCAGATGCAGGTGTGACAAATCCATGGGGGAAGCATCGGGTTACTATTATCCCCTAGTTATTGCAAACTGATCAGGCCCTCAATCTCCCAAACAAGTGGACAGTGAAGGCTTAAATAAAGAGTCAAGTGGTTTAACTTTAGGGCTCCGTGAGGTTCCAAACGCTCTAACAGAATTCGCGATTCTCTGGGAGCTAAGACCCCAAACTTTTCCAGGTGGCCCATATTTATTTAGTTACCAGAACGAGGGCAGGGAATACTGAAGATAGGAGGGAATCTGTCTTGAATGGCAGGGCCTTGGGAGTTCCTACAAGGACTTCTCTAAGTAATACATTATGTTAATTTAGGAGAACTATGTCATTTCCAGGAAAGCCTTCACCACAGGAGTGAGATGCCTCCAGTTACAGTCTTTATCTAGCTAATTGAGGCTGGAGCCAGGTGTCCTTAGCTGTGGCCTTGTCTTGTCCTTTGAGGCGCCACAGCTTTACTTGCCATTACAGGTTGCCCATCTCCAGACAAGGGGCCTAGGCCTTGGGTAGACTTACAAATAAACATAAAGAGTCAATTGGTTAATATAAATCCTGCTCAGAGCCACTTTGCAATGGTCTCCATCAGGAAGGTTTGTGGGCACCAAGGCATTTGGGAACCTGGATGTGGCACCCCAAGTTGTTAGCATATACCTCCTGCCTCCTAGGCTGTGGCTCATGCAAAGTTGTAATGGTCTGTGTTGATAACCATCATCTGTAAGGTTACATATTTATCAGCAACCCTTTGCAGGATAATGGATAGCAAACAGATTCTTTGAGGACTGTTTTTGACTGATGTTAGATAAATCTACATTACCTAAAATTCACACAAGGGACAATGGAGACAAAAACACAAGTGTTGGTATCAGTGTCAAAGCCACACTCTGGCTGACAAACAAGCACAGACAACAGACTGACCTGGTTGGCTAGATCTAAAAACACTGAGGGAGTTTTGCTAAGTCACTAAGTTGTCCAGGTTGGGCTTTAACTTGAGATCCTCCTGCCTCAGCTTTTCAGACTTCTGAGATTATGGGTATGTACCACCATGCCTAGCTATATTTGTTACAGAAGTAAATGTGAACTATTGAGGCACAATTTAGGCACAGTGGCTAATGAATTTAATTGGATGAATGGCTGGTGAATATCAGGATAGGTAAATGAAACAAGAGCCAGAAGAAAATTGGAATAATAAACGAGAAAAAGGAAGAAAACAGGGAGGAGCTGAAGCCACTGCGATCTCCCAAACACTGAAAGCAAAGCCTATTTTAACAGCAGGAGAAGCAAACCAAGCACGAGTGTAGGACATGGGGTGGTAGATGGGGGAGCTGGGGCACTGCATCTGCATTGTGAGGACACTTGTAGTGTGTGTATGTTACATGCAGCCACAACAAGCACTCGAGCTGACTGTATGCACTGCAGGTGGTCAGTGCTGTCCACTACCTCAGCAACAGCCTGCTGGCATATTCACTTTCTCCTTGGGTTGCAAATGTGAAATCTACGTCTGTATTATATGCTTTGTGTGTTTGAAGCAGATATGGTGGGCCTTCAGAGAGACTAAGCAGCTTGCCTGGTCTCCCATAAGACACCTACAAGTAGAAGAGGGCACATGAAATTCAACTGTCCTCTTCCCCGGCTGGAAAGACAAAACAAGGTCATACTCACTGTCTAGTCCGTATGCCCTGAAGCTGACAACCTTCTCCAGGTCAACCACTGGGGTACGTCATCCCCAAGCAGGAGTGAACTGGCTACCTGGCTGGCTTGTTTAGGGTTTGTGTCCACCTGTACCCCCAGCTAACTCAGGAGAGTTGGTCCCAGTCCCAGGATCACAATGAAGTCAGAACAGATACTGGTCCAAAGCTGATCTCAGTGCATTTTCAAGGCTCTGATAGGGGAAGAGCCCACAGTCCCTTCTGCAACACCTCATGGAAAACACTTATGTCCATAGGCCCTTTTCAGGCTATCAAAGATCCTAGGACCCTCATGATCCTCATGAACAGTCTAGTCTGGAGGGCAGCTCAGTACCAGCTGTGCATGTTTTGAGGATTCCAAGCTCACTCTGCTCTTTACCAGGTGCACCAGGCCCTTATACCTGATGTTTCCCTGCCAGAGAAGCCCATGCCAGGTCACACTGACCCTGCATCCAGCCTGGACTTGACTTGCCCTGGGCAAGACAGTTCTGGTGTTCTCATCTCACAGTTGTTACTGCCGAAGTGCCAGGAGCCTGAAAGGAAGGATGCTTCGCCTGCCAACCTGAAACCCACTGTGGTCACAAGGATCTGATGACTTCCCAAGCACCTGTCACCTGGAGGCCATGTGCCTAGCTAACATGAGAGAAAAGCCATTTCCTGCCTCCAAATTGTGGAGAATATGCTGATGAGCAAAGCACTTCCATAAAACGACATGCAGACAGGGGGCACCGTGGGTGTTCTGGGAGCAGATATAGCCTAGGTGGGGCTCTGAGTGCACCCTTACCTCCCTCCTGGGGTGACCTGGAAGCACTGCCTATGGTGCTCCTGAGGCCACAGTGCCCCACCCCTCACTGGGCAGAAGCCCTGGACTCACCGGGCTCTGGGCTTCAGGCTCTGGGTGCCCACCAGCCTTTTGTCTCCCCAGATCCCTCACGTAGTTGTAGACGTCAGCCCCAAAGCAGTCAGCCTCATAGAAGGCACTGGACCAGCCAGGGCTGCAGCTCTGAAACTCAGCTGGGCCCAGAGATATTGCCTGGGTGCCCTCATTGGGTCTGGCCAGCTGGGTCACAGGGTCTGTGTCTGAGGTCCTGGCAGCTGGCTCCAAGCTTGGGCCTTGTCCATCTACACCTGCTTCTGGCTGCTGCTCTCGTGCTGCTTTTATTGACTTCTGTGGCCGAAATCCCACCTCCAAGTTTCCCTGTGAGAGTGTGTCTGAGTCTATGTCTGACAGCGTGGTGGGTGAGCAGGGGCCTCCACCGCCCCGGGCTGCAGCTGATTTTTCTTTGCCTTGAAAGAAAGAGATGGAGGTCAGTGGGCAGCTCTTCTGTCCACGGAGGGAGGCCCAGATGCCCTCAAGACCACTCCTCCCAGTGGTCAGGCTGGGCAGAGCTTGGGAGGTAGTTTCTAGGAACTCTGAGTAGCTTTTGAAGAGATGGTTACAACCAGAAGCAATGCCATCCCTAGACCAGACTCCTTCTGGACACTTGTACGGCTTTCTTTTCTTTTTTCGTTTCTATTCTTTTCTCTGTTCTTTTGTTGAGACAGGGTCTCACTGTGTAATTCAGGCTGGCTGTGAACTCACTGTGTAGCCAATGCTGGCCTTGAACTCAGCAATCCTCCTACCTCAGCCTTCCTGAGTGCTGGGATTACAGACATGCACCAACATGCCCAGCAACTTGTACAGTTTTCAAACTTCTTGTGGGATCTAGACCCTGCCCCCAGCCCTGGGTCCTGTGTCTGTCTCATCCAGACCCACCTGTCCTTCTGGAGCATTTAGAGTCAAGCCCAGCTCTAGTGGTTCACAAACCCTTCTGGATCCTCTGGGCTCTATCACCTCTGGGCGCTTCTGCCTATGCTGGTGGCCTCCTGGGCCCCCTTTCTGGGAGCAGGTGGACTTCATGCTTGCTGTCTGCTCACTTGCTCCCTGATTTGCTTAAATAGGGAGGATGCCATCACCAAGTGCCTATTACTGGCCAGTAAATGTATTTGGGTGATCAGTCACCCCACCTGCTTGGCCAGCCTGTCTTGATTCCTTTAGACTGGATTTTGGGATACTACAGTTTTTAGTGGATTTGGGAATCCTGGGCTAATACTCTGAGAAAGCCAGCTGAACCAGCACTGTGTTGGAAGCCACTGAAGGGAAGGAGGGAAGGGGCTACCACAGCCTCTGCCTGCAGGCCGAGGCTCCAATGGTGTTCCCTAGAGCAAGGCTGTCCTGATGCGGAAGCCTTTCCTGTAATTAGCCTCAACAGGAGGGACTGGAGGACCCCAGTGAGAACAGCTATAGCTCCCACCTTCTGTGTGGGATTTTTCTTACCCAGTCCGTGCAATGAGGGTCTTTTGCTGGAGGTTGCACAGCTGCCTGGCGAACTCTGGAGCTGAGACCCTGTGTCCTCAGAAGTGCTGACAATCAGAATGACTGGTCAGATCCCCTCCAGTCCCTTCCCACTGGATGAGGCCTTGGGCCTATGCAGAAAAGCCCCCAGCGGGCAAACACTGGTGGGGAATAAGTCCTCACAGACAGTGGGGCACCGGCTCCATAAAACCGCTGCTGGATGGAATCCAGGCCTAGTCCAGATCGCCCTCTCACACCCATGGAAATGCATGCTGGTGTTGGGGGCTGAGATGGGCACATTTGCCAACAACTACTTTTACTCCTCATGTAGGCAGGAGAATGTCAGAAAGCATGCTTCCCCCACCCATGCCCCAATAGCAGACACACATCAGCAAATGCCACATCCATGGGGCTGTGTAGTTGCTGTGGAGGGGGAACAGGTGCATGGTATGGGAGTGAGACACTGAGAAAGAAAGAGTTTAGGTCAGGAAAGACCCTATAAGTACAACATACATGGGCGTTGGGGTCCCGCTCCGCCACAGGGCCCCAGGAAGGGAAGCCTGGGTCCTGGGGTCACCCACCTCTCAGAGGGCGAGGATGGTCCATTGACCACTTTGAAGAGGTTTTGTAGCAACTGTTCATTCCAGTACAGGTCACAGAACTTCTCAGATATGGCACCACAGAAAGTGGCAAAGGTGAGGTCTTTCAAGGCGTAAATATATTCCCCTAGTTTTGCAAAGTGATAGGGCAAGTTACGATGTGGTACCCTCACTCATGGTCACATGGAAGAGATGGTCTCAGGGAGAGATGGGCTTGTGTGGACTCCCAGGCACTTCCCAATCAAAGCTCCCGACCACCAGCTCTTTGAGCTCCCCTCACTGTCCTGGGGGCCCCCAGCCCCTCTGCCACCCTTTATGCAAAATCCCCTCTGATGTCCCGTGGGCTGTGTCTACACCCTTGGGCTCTCCCCGGTCCTCCCGGGGCTCATGCTGGTCCCTGTGGCCCCCATACCCATAATCAGAGCCTCCAGCCCGTTGTCCAGGTAGCCATCAAAGGCAAACTCCTCCTGGATGAGGCGCATGGCCTCCTGCAGGGAGGGACAGGTTGTCTTCTTCGGCGGGGATGAGGTATCCACACTGGATGGACATAGCTTGCGGTCTGCTGGCCAGGCCCTCTCAGGGTGATTGCCTGGGCTCCTAGGGCTGTCTGGACTCACTGCAGCTAGTGTTGGGCCCCGTGCCACTGGCCGGGGGCCTTCAGTCTCGGCAGCCTTGTTCTTGGGTGGCTTGCACGGGTGACGGGGGCCTTGGTTGGCTGAGGTGGGCCTTGGAGGCAGAGTGGCTCCAGGTGGAGCTTGCCCATCTGGCCCTTGCTCAGGAGGCAGTGTCAGTACCTTCTGGGGTGGGGTGGGGGCAGAGGGGCTGGGCATCGCTGGTGTGTCCCCTTCTTGTGGGTTGGCTGGTTTGGGGCCTGGTTGGCAGGAGCACTCCTGGGCCAAGCTGTGTGGCACTGACTCCCTGACAGGTTCCAGGGTTTCTCCCTGCAGCTCTGGACTGGGTGCCAGCTGATTAACGGTCTTCAGGTTTGTGGCCTCAGAGAGGTCCTGGGCTGCCTGGCTCCCTTCATCCTCCCCCACCAACTGCTCATTCTTCTCCTTGAGCTTCTCAGCTGAACCTGAGGACAAAGAAACCTGGGCCCTGTGAACAGAGAGGAAGGGAGATCTGAGGGGGGCCAACTGTGCTGGGGATGCTGCCAGCTGGGGTGAGGGTGGGGCACTCACCTGGGCACACCTGCGTCTTGAGCAAGGATGATGGGCTTAAAGTGAGTGGCTTCAGAGGTGAAGGCTGCAGGCAGCTCTCTGGTTTCTTCGCAGCAGGAAGGTGGACTGCGCACAGGCGCCGGCATGGCTACAAGTTTGGTGTCACTGCTGACTGACAGGAAGCCTGGGGACAGCAGGTGGTTGGGAGGCCACGCGGGGGAAGGGACAGTTGTGGGGCCTGCGGCTCCCATACTTAAGGCCCTGCTGGCTTGTCAGGACCAAGGCTGAGCGCGTCATCCTTTCCTACACATCCCAGAGGAACTCTTTTGCTGGGCTGGCCTAGGGGCTAGAAGGTGGGGAGTGACCAGTGCCTACGGAGGACTGGAGTGAAGGGACAGGCCAGAAGCCTGGAGGAGGCTTGGGGCTGCTGGGAGGGGTCTTATCCCTGGGCCCAGGAAAGGCTCCCTGAGGAGGTAGCCAGGTAGGATGAGAGCTGCTGGGTGAGAACGTGGATGCGGAGTAGCTGGGGAGGACAGAAAGAATCTGGAGCTGAGTCCTGAGTGGGGAGGAGGTGAGACCAAGAATGGCCTGGGCGGGGTTGTGGCTGAGCTCTGGACGTACTGCTCTGAGCTTCTGGGTGACATCAGCTGTGAGTGTCCTGAGGGCTGGACTCTGGGGGAGGGCAGAGTGGATGTGGGGCACAGGAGCTGGTAGATAGGAAGGGTGAGAGGAGTTGGAAACATGCCCACCTGGGCTGGGCTTGGGAGCTGGTGCTGTGCGGGGTTTCAGTTCAACCACTGAGAAGGCATTTTGGAGACCGATGGTCTCTTCCTCCTGGTGAACCTGGGGTGGAAGGTCACAAATGGCTGGTCAGAGGACAATGGGGCCCAGAAGTACAGTGTGAAGGCCTGTCCTGCAATGCCCAGCAACACGCCAGGCCGGTCTGAGGAGCTTTCTGTGGTATAAGGGAGTCTGGCTGTGAGGAGCCTGCTTTAAGATTTGGAGCTCCCCCACCTCAGTAAGGCTGTGGTAGGTCTCTAGAGAATGGGAAGATTGTGGCAGAATGGACCCTTAACCTGTTGTGGGGAGTTCAGTCCCCTGAACTGCTCCACATCCATTCAGAAAGCTGATAGACATCTTTGCTAATGCTGTTGGCTACCTAAGGGTCACTCTGCAGGATTCTCAGGACATACGACAGAGAGTAAATAGCTCCTCCCACCAAGTGCACAGCACCCGCATATAGTGGAGTAGTCAGCAGCACACTCAGGTCCTCCAGAAGCTCATTCCCATGAGCAGAGAAACCTGAGACACCAACTGTGTCAGGAGGATGGCTATTCACTCCCTCTTCCTATGTTGTCTCTTAGCCTTAATACAGCAGGAGACGAGCAGGTTTCTTGTCTGGGCATTGGCAACAGGAAGCAGCCCTCGATGAGCTTTGAGATGCACCATCTTACCTTGTAGGTGGACACCCGCAGGTGGGCTAGGATCTTTCTGCTATCCATGCCCCGCTGGAGAAGGTAGCTCCCACAGACCTGAAAGCAGGGAGACCATCTGGGCAGGCTAGGATGGGCAGCTCAGGCATCAGCTCCTGCCTTACCAGCCCCAATTTCCCTGATGCTTCCAGGAACACAGGTGGATGGGCCACAGGGAGGCCCTAGGGTCTTCTCTGCAGGGGCCCTAACTTGGGTAACCTTGAGGAGAATTCACTTCTAGGTGTCTGGCCTTGCAGTCCATCTGCAGCTGTGAATAAAAACTGAACAGAAGAAGCCACAGCTGCTCCCCAGCTCTTGCCTTGCTGAAAGCTTCTGCCATATGTGCTGGAGACAAGAGACAGGGATCTAGGAGAGGCAGATGTCATAGAACCACGGCAGAGGGGTCAGAATCAGTCTGTGTGTGCACACAAGACCAAAGACCCCAAATTTGCAACCTACCCAAGGAAAGAGATGAATTTCGTAGATAATTATAGTTAGCAGCAATTTTTAACAGCTGACCCCATGCTATCTGCCCACACAGCCAAAAAATGATAGCCATTCCCTTCTCTACCTAATAGAACCCCGGGGACCGGTGAGTAGGTCTCCAGTCATAGTACAGTTACCTTGATGGCCTCAGCCACAGATGGCCGCTCTGGAGCGCAGCGCCTGGCCATGTCCAGGAGGAGAGTCTTGAGCCTGCGTGGTAGGGCCAGCTTCTGGTCACGGGGGACGCTGAATTTGGCTGCTGTCCACAGCACAGCGGCCACACAGTACACTGAGGCCTGGGTTGGGGCAGAGTGAGGAGGGAAAGGTGGCAGAGGGGCCAGAGGAGCCAGAGAGGTCCAGCAAGCCTGTCCCCAACTGGCCCCCACCAAGAATACAGCAAGGCACAGCCACACTGAGTGATAACCTGCCCAGACCCAAGGCCCACCCCAGTCAGACCCATCATGGAACCTTGGGGTATGGCATGGAAATCTGTATATTTAACAAGACACCCTGTCTCAACATCTTCTTCATCACAGGGACTGGCTGGGACTCCTTCCTGGCCAGTGTGTGCCCCCATGTAGACATGCGTGTCAGTTGTGCCAAGTCCTACTGATGAAGGGCTACACATTGCACAGTTCAATATGCTGTTTCCTGTAAGTTCTCCCTGAAGACTCTCCTGCTTTAACCAGCTACGGCATCCACAGCAACCTATGATGAATGGGTGCACCTAACATGAATGCAGGATGTTATTTTTGTTCTCAATAAGACCAAAACAAGATGGATACAGGAATGTTACTGATTGTTATGGTCTGTGTCTAGATGTCCCCCTAAAGCCTCATGTAGTCATGGGGGTGGGCTTCTAGAGTTTGTGACTGATTCATGGGCCAATGCTGGGATTATGGGTGTGAGTGCTACACCGCCCTAGGGCAGGTAGCCTGCATATAATATAAGGGAGGCTTGTTCTCTCTCTTCTCCGTTTTTGCTCTTGTTGCTTTTGCTGTCTTCTGCCGCCATGAACTGTTTCTCCTCTGCCTTGGATCCAGCGGATTATGGACTGAAACCTCCACAAACTGTGAGCTAAATAAACCTTTCCTTCCTTAATTCTGGGTGTTGGGTATTTTGTCGCAGCAACAAGAGAAAAGGAACTAAGACATTGGTTCTAAGCACAGTCTTTGTTGAATCAGAAAATCACTGTTGAATGGATGAGACTACTTCCTTAGGCTTTGGGCGGTTCACAATGCGGCAGCTACACGCACAACTTGCTTTTAAGTTTAGTTGATTTATGAATGTTTTCTCTTTCATCTTGTTAAGTCTGGCCTATTACCAAAGTAGTGGAGCCCTGGTGTGTAGTATTTGCACTTCCATGGTGCAAATGTTCCCCTGAGGCCAGCTTTCAGCCTCGAGGAGGCTGGAAACTGCAGTTGGGAAATCCAGCCCCAGTAGACCTGAAGAGCCCGAGAGTACAGACACAGTCAACTGTGGCTATATAATTAGGAAACTATCAGTTTTCTGAGTCCTTATTAAATTTTAAAACTTTGAGGTACCTACAGATGGACACACAGTTGCTAGAAATAGAGATCCCAGGTATTGTTCACTCAGTTTCCTACAGCAGAGGCATCTCAGAAAAGTGCAGCTCAGTGTCACAGCCTGCACCATGATACAGATGGTCACAACTTAAGGGTTCTTCCTGCACCCTTTGACAGCCCACCTCCAACCCCTCCTGATTTTTGTCTGTTCACTGTGTCTATAATTGCGTTGTTTCAGGAATGTATAAATGTGCTGTACAGTACAGTACAGTGTGTAAGCTTTTGAGATGGGCTTTTTTCTTTAAATGTATTGTTCTGGAGATTTATCCAGGTTGCTGCACCATCAGTATTTCATTCTTTCTATTACTGTGTAGGATGCTATACTTTGGGGTGGCACTCCCCATTTCTCTAAAAATCTCAAACTGTTTTCAGTAACAACAGAAGGGCAAGGTTTTTATCTGCTACTCATTTCTACTCCATCAAAAGCAAAGCCACATCCTTCAATTCTCTTCTTTAAATGTGTGGCTGTTTGTAAACTGTACAAAAAAGGAACTTAATGTTCAGCTTTAAAAAAATTTTTTTTTGGCTGTGCTAAGGATAGAACCCAAAGGACTTAATTTAACATACAAAAATATCATATAGGGGCCAGAGGTATGCGGGGCAGCACCTGCTAGGCAAGCGTGAGGTCCTGAGCTCAATTCCTGGTAACAAGAAAACCAAAACCCAAAACAAAACAAAAGTATAAAGCTACAACAGTAACTTTTTTCATTAAAGAATTATTATCTCTCCAAGAAAAGCTATAAAATATCTATTTAAAAAATGAAAAAGTACTTTAAAATCCTTGGCTAATAGTTGTGATTTATATATAACTAAGTATGAAATGTTAGATGCTGTGAGTCACAATTTCTGAATGATTTTGATATTTTGGTATGAACTTACTATGAGGCACCACAAAGATTTAAAGGTTTTTCTATTTCAGGCAGGGGTGTAGCTCCATGGTAAAGCACATATTTAACATGCACAGGCCCTGGGTTTAATCATTGGCACCAAAAAAAAAACAAAAAAAGATTTTCTATTTTAACCTCAATTAAATTATGAAAAGCTACACATTTGATGACAACCATCAATGATGAGATTAATCTGGAAGGAAGAGATTTGCATGTTAGGAGCGCCCAGCCAGCCATTTCATGCAAATAGCTAGATTGCTCTATTTTTTTCCCCTAATATTTTAAGTAAAAGTACAATTTTATACATAGTTAAATATGCACATATTACAGAAAGATCTGAGATAATAAGTAAATATCCTTCTCCCAAAACATAGCAGATCTGATGCCTTCAAAATCCTTAAGCAGTCATATGAGTAATTCACAAACTAAAGTTGACTGGGAATCTTTTATCTGCAAATACTTTTTAGGCCTTTGGAACTGTGTTGGTTATCTCGTGTCACAGCTCTGTTACACAGCAAAGCCATGCAATCCTCTTCTTCATAAATAAAATTTCAAAGGCAACACGCACACACTGCTCAGAGACAGCAATGTCCAGGAAGTGTCTCAGACACTACTGGATCCAAGGTGGCTCTGGAGTGTCCAGGTATTACCAGAAATGCTACACGGGAGGTCAGCTCCTTCCTGGATGCCCCAGGTCCTCCTGGTCAGCTGCAAGAACTTGGGGGAGGACAGTGGCTCCCCTAGGATGTAAGGAGAGAAGAGGAGATAGGCATCCTCAAAGAGTTGAATTAAAAATGCTTCTGCTGCCTCATGAAGGACCAACAGGGCCTGGGCTTGCCAGTTCAAATCCATACCACGAGTGAATTCAGCACGTATTTCTCTTGCCACACAGCAGAAAGTGCCTTTCTTGGCAAGAGGTCTGTGCTGTCCCACAGATTTTGGATTTCTCTAAGCCAGTAATGTATTCACTCAGTCTCTCTCAGTGCTGGGATCAGAAGCTTGTGCCACACCACTCAACTTGTTTTGTTAAATTTCTGCATAGACAATAATCTCTTCTGTGAATAAAGACAGTTCTATTTCTTTCTTCTCAGTCTGTATTATACTTTTTATTTCTTTTCTTATCTATCACACCTCCTAGGACTTCTAGTATGACACTGAAAAAAGTGGGAAGGGGATATCCCAGCTTTGTTCCTGATCTTAGGGAGAAAGCTTTAGGTTTCTCATTATAAAGTATGATGTTACTGATTTGTTTCTTGTAGCTGTTATCAAGTTGAAGAAATTCCCCTCTACTCCTGGTTTGCTGAAAGTTTTTGTTATGCATGGATGTTGGGTTTTGTTAAAAGCTTAGCATTATGGATATGAACACGAGTTTTCTTCTTTAGTATATTGATGTGATTTTTATATCAATTGATTTTCAACTATTGAATCAGATTTGAAAACCTGGAAAAACCAGATTTGGTCAGTTTTAAATTCTGATAAAGTTCAATTATTAATTTGTACTATACTTTTTTGAAAATAGTTATGTATAGTGCTTTTGATGTCATGTCTACGAACTGTGCCTAGCTCCTCATCCTGAAAAATTTCTTTGATTTCTTTCACTGGTATTCTCCTATACATGCCATGTTGGGTTTATATCTAAGTTTTTAATTTTATTTTAGTTTTAGTGGGGCTGGGGACTGAACTTAAAGCCTTACATATCTTAGGTGACTATTATATTACTGAGGTATTTGCTTAACCCTAGTATTTTTTGGAGCAACTGTAAATATATTAAATTAAATTTTTAATTTTTATGTTGGTATGTAAAAATACAATTGATTTTTCTGAACACTTATCTTATATCTTTGCAACCCTGTAAAATTATAAGTCCTAGGAGAGCTTTTCTGGGTTGAGTCCTTGGGATTTTCTTTTTTTCTTTTCTGGTCTTTTTGACACAGGGTCTCGCTATGCAGTTCAGGCTGGTGTTGAGCTCACTTTGTAGCCCAGACTGGTCTTGAACACACAGTGATTCTCCTGCCTCAGCCTTCTGACTGCTGGGATTACAGGCATGCACCACCACACCTGGCTCTTCTTCTTCTTTTTTTTTTTTTTTGTCTTTGGGATTTTTTATATAGACAATTATGTCGTCTACAGTCTTATTTCTTCTATCTTAGTCTTCATGCTTTTTAGTTGCTTTTCTAGCATAGTGGCTAGAACTTGAGTTACAAGGGGTGAGAGTGAACCTGGCTTGTTCTTATCTTAGGGAGAAAGCAGTCAGTCTTTAATCATTAAGTATGATGTTATCTGTAGGGTTATTTATTTATTTTGTACATTTTAAAAATCAAGTTGAGGAAGTTTATTCTATTTTTCTTGAGAGTTTTTTTTTAAAAATCATGAATGGGTGTTAAATTTTGTCCAACACTTTTTCTTCTTTAGCTAGTTAACATGTTAGACTATACTGACTTTTAAGTATTGAACCAGACTTTCATCTCTGGAATAAACTCCACTTTGTCATGGTATATAATTATTTTTATGTGTAGTTGAATACTATTTGCATATATTTTAAGGATTTTTGCCTTCATATTCATGAGAGGTACTATATTTTTGGGTACGCTATTTAATTTTGAAGTCAGGGTGATACTAGCTTCAACAAATTAGAAAGTGCTTTTCTTTTTCTGCTTTCTGGAAAAGACTGTGTAGAATGGTGTTAATTCTTCCTTAAACATGTGGTATAATTTTGTGGTGAAACCATCTGGGCTAGAAAGTTATCCTGGAGAGTTTTAAAATTATAAACTCAATTTCTTCAACAGTGACAGACTATTCAAATGATCTATTTATTTCAATGGT